CCCTCTTTGGCGGCCCCAGCCTCAGTGGCTGCTGGTTCTGATCAGCACAGGGAGAGGGGAATGACAGGTCTCTCAGATCTGGGTCAAGTGATCTGAGCTGGGCAGAGCTGTCTGTCTCCTCCTTGTGGGGATTAAGGACTAGCAAGCCTCTGCCACTCTTCCAGGAGGTTTGGCCTTTGCCTGACACAGTGCTTCCCCTCTTGGTCACTCTTTGGTGATGTGATCTCTGCTGCTGTGCAGCTAAGTTGTCAGCACTTGCTGAGCCTTGTTCTCAGCTAGGATCTCCCTAGGCACGATGCTGTGTTGAGCAGACACTGTGGCTGGAGCCTCTTCCCTGGGAACGTGTGGCCCATAGCAGGGCTGTTCGCCACAGTCCATACTTCGTTCTCCAGGGGATGGCATGTTCTATATTTGCCTTCATCAGTACTTCCCTGAACATCACCTCTCCTAGGTCATTCAGCTGGTGCTGTTGGTGGTGGTTGCACCACTGCTCCCATTGCACTGCACTGATCTCTGGGAGGAGAGGACTGGAGGTACTGTCCCTTGCAGGCTGCTGCAGCACTGGGGAATTGGAAGCTTTTTTACTGCTTTTGTCCTTCCTGGGGTTTCTTCCCCACATTGGGGTTTGGGCTTTTGGGTGGGCAAAGTGTTCTCTGGCAAGACAAATAAAAGTCAGACTGCCAAGCCAATCAGTGTTTGGTGTCTGTTTCAGCCCCATCCCTGCCAGCCGTGGCATGTTGTGCTGAGAGGATGAGACTGAGTTGCCTAGAGCCTGCAGTGCAGGAGGTGGGCGCTGAAGAGCAGACAGGATCTTTTGACATGTGTCCTCTGTGCTGCCGCTTGGTGCAGCTGCCTTGGAGTGTGGTGTTCCGTGTCCCTAGAGGTGGCACTGGAAGGCCAGCTTTAGCTTTGGCACTCTTGTTCCCTGCGTGGGTTTGATTTTTGGTGTCTCCTTCAGGGTGTAAATGTCATCTGTCTGCAATGCCTGGGCTTGTGAGCAGAGCCAGCTTGCCCTTCGTCAAGTGAATTGGATGAGGACAGTGTGAAGCTGGTGTCCCTGGAGTGACACTGGCCCTCACCACCCTGCGTGTGGAGGTGATGTGCCTAGATGAAGGCAGGGAGGCACTCTGCTGATACGGGCTGGATGCTGACTTCCCTCTCTCTTCCTTTCTCAAGCAGTTCAGCAACAGCTGATGGAATTACAGGTTCATGGAGGAAATCACTTTATACTAAACCCTTGGCCATCTGCTCACTTTCCAATTACAAACGCTGGGTGTGATTTGTGGCTGTGCCCTTGGGATGGGGTGATGAGAGCAGCCCCTTGGGCACAAACTCCGAGTGAGGGGGGCAGCATGCTCTGCAGTTGCTGGTAAGGAGCAGGGATGAAGCAGGCAGAGCTGCCTGCTGCAAGCTGGGTGGATGGTTTTCCAGGGCTGGACCCGTGTGAACACAGGTAGGACCATGGGCCCATTTTGTGCTCAGGGTGAGGCAGGGTAGGAGGCAGCTGGCTGTCCCAGCAGCCCTGACAGCACATGCTGGAGGAGGATGCACTAGCTCTGGGGAGAGCATTCCTGGGCTGCCCAAGTGATGCGGCTGGGTCTCGCCCGACCTTTTCTGCCCCTGCCCAGCTCTTGCTCCCCGGTACATCCTGGCAGGGCTGGATTAAGGATACCTGGAGAGAAGGGCCTTCTGCCAGGTTTGCATTCGCAGCACTTCCATCTTGGACTTCTTTCCAGCATGCAGGCCTTGAGGCTCTGCTGCCAAAGCTACAGTTGCACCTGCATTATCTTGGACTACAGCACTCGGGCACAATGTGTTAGGTGTTGGGAGTGAAGACAAGGCTGTGGTGACTGGGAGGAGTTGTCCCTTTAAACACTGAGTCCAGGGAGGGTAATCTGCCAGAGATTATCTGCTGGGGAGAGGATTGGCATTAAAGGGAATGTCTCCTCCCCTGCCCCTTGTCCTACAGCATCCTCTGTCCTGTGTGTATGGAAACCACATTCACTTTCTCCTGGGGAAGCAGAGAGGGGCCTTTGATTTGAGGGATAAGGGGAGGACAGAGTGTGCACTATGGGACTGGGCCTCCTCCTCCTCACCATGCTGGCCACAGTGATATCCTGTGAGGACCCAGAAGGTAACAAGGTGTCTGGGGGAAGAGGGGTTTACAGGGATCCCCAGCACTGCTGGCACCTGGTTGGACTGGTCTACTCCAGCAGGGAGCAAGACCTTTGTCACACCCCTGTGGTGAGGCTTAGCACAGGGGAAATGGGAGCTGGTTTGCACAAGAGCTGGGTGCTGCCAGAGGATGCACTCCTCACCACAGCAGGGGTTGGGGAGTGAGTCGAGATGAACCTTTGTTGGGCTTGTACCACCTCCCTGAGGGTCTCAGGGCTGGGGAGCTGGCAGGAAGGGTGGTCTCCGGCCTCAGCCCTGCTCTGCCTTGCTCCCTATGGCACCAGGACACTTGGATACTTACTGGTCTGGCACAGCACCCATTTGTTTGGGAGGCTGCAAGGGGAAGCACAAGGAGCTGAAGAGGAGCCAGTGTGGGAACGGCAGCTGCTGCTGGCTGGGCTACAAGTCCCTCTGCAGAGGTACAGCCAGAGCGGGAACACCGGGGGGCCTTGGGGCTGGCTGCAGAGCTTGGCGCAGCCAGCCTGGGGAGGACAGGTTTTGTGCCACGTGTGTGTGGAGTCCCTCTAGCAGCCCTCGGGCACCCACAGATCCTGCCCAGCACCCACAGCTTTGGGTGCATGCCCTTGGCTGCTGTTCTGCCGAGCAGGCAGCACAGGGTGCCAGCCCTGCACTGCCCTCAGGAACATCCCTGTCCCCAGTGAACTGCGGGCGACCCGAAGCGGATTTCCACTCGGTGGTGCACGGCAATGACTGGTGGGTCGGCTCGGTGGTGCGGTACGGCTGCAGACCTGGGTTCCTGCTGCTGGGAGACCCAGCCAGCGCCTGCCAGTCCAATGGCCACTGGAGCCCCCAGCCCACCCGCCGG